ACTCCTTTTAATACTCTGTAACTATGAGTAACACACTAAAACCTTCTAACTGATGCAGACATTTTGTAACTATGAGATACCACTCATGTCATACTCTGAACTACTGAGTACACACTAATACTCTGTAACATATGAGTTACACACTAATTACTCTGTAACTATGTAGTACATTCTGAACTAATGATACACACTGAGATACTCTTGTAACCTATGATACATATTTGTAACTATGAGTACACTCTGTATACTCTGTAACTATGAGTACACACTGTAATGCTCTGTAACTATGAGTACACTCTGAATTGTTAACGCTTGATGCCACCGGGTGTTCTTCAACAGGATTATGAATGGCAGTTGGTGGTGGAGAGCTCGAGCAGTAGCTTCACCAGATGTATGTGTACTCATAGTTACAGAGTATTACAGAGTGTACTCATAGTTACAGAGTATTACAGAGTGTACTCATAATTACAGAGTATTACAGTGTGTTATTGACATAGTTACAGAGTATTACAGAGTGTACTCGTAATTACAGAGTATAGTCATTATGAGCTGTTGGTGGTACGAACGACCACATGGCAACACTGGCTACCTACACATTCATCTACCTGACTACCATGCTGCCCTACACATTCATCTACCTGACTACCATGCTGCCCTACACATTCATCTACCTGACTACCATGCTGCCCTACACAGCAATGCAGAAACACAAGATGAGAGATACGTTTGACCAAATGAGGAGAAGGCAATGTGATCACTATTAAAATATTATTTGTTTGTTGTAACACAATTGAAAGTGTGCAAATTATTTTACAGTTTTTACTGTTAATTATTAAGCCTTATAATGGATTATTAATAAAAATATTAATAAAATATTAATAATGGATTGCCTAAGCTATGCAGATATATGACTACATACTGCATGTAACGGGGATCAGGATTTTTCGTTTGGCTATAGACTGCTTCATGCAAACGTGAGCAAGGATTGTTAAGAAAATCAGTTGAAGTTGACAATGAGAGGGACGGTGTGTGTGAACTGGCACACATACACTCCAACCTGATACAACTGAACACATGACAAATGAATATACGGTGAAAGGGTGCGCGGGTCAGTGCATGTACTCACAGTGAAATCGCCTTGTCTAGCTGCTGATCCGATGCGTGTATGTCGGCCATGAGGCACACTGCCTCTGTGTAGTATGGATCCTGCTTCAAGGCCTTTTCTAGGCAAGACTTGGCCTGCACACAGACAACACGAATCGAACACAATGCTAAAAGACAAAGCAGTACATAGAGTTAGAGTTGAACAGATTCCCAAGGGTCAGAGTACATATACTGCTGTGGTGCTGAAGGAAATTACTAGAAAAGATTTTTCATTCATCCCAACACAAGTTTTATTACTTAAATGTAGATTCAACAAGCAAGTGTTAAACTCCGTACAGACTGCAAAATTTGAACCTACATTAAACTGGTGCGGGTTAGGCGTACGACAAATTGTAGTGTACAGACTGCAAAATTGATCCTACATAAAATGAGTCATCAGTTCTCAGTTCAGCTCGCGACGTGACCCGGCTGACAGCAACGTGACCTAAATAAGGCTATGCACATGTGTATTGCGATTTAGTGCCACGTTTTTGGCATGCGTGTTAAGTACACACACACACACACACACACACACACACACACACACACGCAGGCTATCTTGGTCCGGGCTAAATTATCCCGAGTTGTTGCGTACAGACACAGCTTGGTGCGGGACAACATATCACAGGCCAAGTTATCCCGGGCCTGGCCCTCCTTCATTTGCAGGGCCAAATTGGTGCAGGCCAACGCGTATTTGGAGCGGGATAGCGTGTACACACTGTAAAAATTTGCCGCCTGACTCGCACCAGTTTAATACCATATCAAATTTGCAGTCTGTACGGGGTATTAGACATGTCAACGCTGCTGCACACTGCAACATCTATTCACAGCTGCAGCTACACACAGACCTTGTCTCGTGTGAGTGGATCCTTATCCAGGACCGATGCATACAAGGTCAGAACGCGTGGAGTTTGCCCAAGCTGCTTACAGGTGGCGCTAGCTGTCGTTATTGCTTCCCGACCTCGGTGGCTTGCCATGTAGCACTCGACCAAACCTGCAATCATGCGCACAACAGAGGTAGTAGTTCACAGATGTCCTAGCAGGCCATACATGTCAGCTTTTTGGGAGAGGAGTAAGCTCATGTCATGTCACGAATGCAGACAAGGATTGTCGGCTCTCACGATAACCATATTTAAATTGTTCCCAATATCTGACTGATGCAGAAATCATTGCAGTATCACTAGCGCTAGCTGCCACACTAATGGTGCAGTGATACTGCTTCCTTGCGTAGTTACCTTTGTGGGCCTCGTATCTGTAGGCATTAATTCGAAGGGCTTCACGGTAATGTAGAATTGCTTCTGAGACTTTCCTCAAGTCCAGCAATGCAGCACCTTTCAGTAGCAAGGCTTCCATGCTGCGACTATCTATCGTGTAGGCCTGACGAACATTCACACGCGCATTGTAATGTTACAGCTAGATACACGTATACATCAGCATACCGACATCGTGCTATTTTCGATAATTACAGTAATCTTAATCGCCAATGCTATTCCTGACTCGACGGAATGTGCTACTCTACTCAACACTGCATTTACAATCTGATAACCGACATTTATCGCGGCAGTAAGCGCCATTTCGCACACCTTCTGTGCAAAGTATACAGCTCTCGTTGCCTTCTTTGTTGCCATGCAAAAGTGGGCCATGGCGATCCAAGGCTCCACGGCCTGCTCCGTCAGCATCATCATGTGATTCGCAAAGCTGAAAGGAAAGCAGAAACCGCTCACACATCAAACTGCACTTCAGCCAACATTCACCTGAAGCGGGTTTTCACGTCTTCGTTTCATCGAGACCCTGACGTCTAAGACAAAATTAAGTGCACCCAAGTTTCGTTGTGCGCCCGTGTATGAATCAAAGACCACATTACTTCATATCACCATACCCTTCTAGCTTCTTTATCTTCTTCTCCCTGGCTAGGAGGGCTGCCAGTAAGTCCATGTTCTTCAGCAACAGAGGGTCTAGGGAGTACGCCCGCTCAAGTGTTGTTAGCGCCGACTTGTAGTTACCATTCATGTAGTATGCCTCGCCGAGGGAACACAGCACGTCCACGTTATCCCTTAGATGAGTCTGGAAAATAGCAGACCAACGGGTATTCGTGTGCTGAGGTGAGCCTGACTGGCAGAAAGCGCGTCACCCGCACACGGACATGCCAGGAGATGAACATGTAGGACATAATCGCACGCTGCAATAACATTGCCGTCAGTGTGTTTGCCAGAGACCCGTCTACCCGTCTTTTGGCTGGCTTATTCTTGGATGAGACGGATGACATTTGATAGAAACGGAATCAGGACGGCCCAATTTTATATATTATACACCTTGTATAACTGACAACATTGCTTATAAGGACATAAAATCATATCAGATTCATGTCTTTTTGGCATTTCAGACTAAATTTCCTCCATTTTAAGGTGAGGCCCTCCCCCCTAAGGCACGTTGCGCCCGCAGCATCCTCGCTTCGCTCAGATGGTGAGACTCCCTGATTTTTTTCCTGGCTAACACCCTGATTGCCGTGTTTTACATGGATTTTCCAGGCTGTACGAGACGTGACGAATATGCAGTCTTTACAAATCTATCACAGGGCACTTACTTTCGAGTCGAGTTGGCTAAAAGCTGTAGCGGCTTGTGTGAATTCCTTGCTAGCCAGGTGAGCATGGGCCCTGATCCAGGAGAGCAACCTGTGTGGGGACACACAAAAGTCTGATCAACCGTACGTGTGACAACTTATGCTGCGTTTACACTATCGATTTTTGTCAGCAAATCGTACCGATTTCAAGTGCATTCCAACACAATCGGCTGAAATTCGATTGTATTGGAGTCGTAGTCGCAGTCAAGTCGCCGAGTTGGAGAAATAGAATGTGTTCTATTTCTCCAACTCGGCCCGACTCCGACACCAATACAATCGAATTTCAGCCGATTGTGTTGGAATGCACTTGAAATCGGTACGATTTGCTGACAAAAATCGATAGTGTAAATGCAGCATAACAGGACTGCGCACCGTGAATCGGATACAAGCAACGCATGGAAAGTGAGGTTTTTATGATGCCAGCATAAAATAATAATAACAAAATAAATAAAAAAACTTCAGTTGGCGAAAATAGAACATGTTCTAATCTCCCAACTAGTAGCTATCGATCGGTCGGTCGCGCAACTTTTGCGTTTACACTGCCGATTGTCGGTTGTATAGATGGGAAGTCGGTCCAATTCGCCAATTCGCCAATGCAAAGTTGGTAATTGAAAATTGTGTGCTCGGTGTAAATACCATTCCATTGACGACAGATGTGAGATGACAGGTGTCATCAGAGAGGCTATCTCGACTCCACGGATTCCAAGCCCCATCAGAGCCACGGCTGCATCCAGCGCTAATGGGCACTCCCTAAACCGTACAACCAACAGCACAACTAAGCTCAATGTAGAACCAGCTGGGGGCAATGAACTACCTATAAATATTCTCATTGTAGCAAGCTGAGGTAGTTCTACTAATACTTACTTACTTAGCCTCTTGCCCTCCCCCCCCCCCCAGATGGGATATAAGGTTGTAGTTATACCAACAATATGTACTAACTTCACACGTTCTTACACAAATCGCATCATATGACATATGCTTGACTACTGAATTCAACGTATTGTGCATGTTTATAATAATCGCTACTAGGTGGCAGCAGGTAGCAGGTCTCCAACAGAGTATATACCTTATGGGTGATATTCGATATGAACTACATAATATGCTACCGGACTATGAGTCACTCAATATGTGGAGTAGGCCCCTATGGATAAAATCTAATCCAATACCTTAAAACTTCTTTAAAACCAGTAGTAGCAGATCTCTCCACTCCTGTTCTGCGGTAGAGTTTAGCAAGAGCCATGTTGACTTTAGGAGTTCTTTGTTTGGCGGTTATGCTCTCAAGCTAAATTTTCAATATAATAATATAAACACTGGTCACTGAATCACTGATCCAATGACACTTAAAGGGATACATTTCTCTAGGTTCTTCAGATATTTTCAGCTAAGATAGGTTAAAATTACGCTTCATAAAATGTTTTATGGTTCAATATTTATTAGAAATATTTTTAGAAAATGTTTTAAAACTGACAGCTTACAATGATGGTGGCACCACTAGCAGCGCACCCACTAGAAAAGTTGCGCAAAGCAATGTTTCGGCTGCAGGCTACAGACCGAGGGTGTTTCTTATTTATTAATTTAAGAGCAAAGGGATTTCAATATCTTATAAATGACATATAGTTTCAGTTATAATATGGATAAATTTGTCCTAAAATGAATATTGTTCCGTTAAATAGCATTTATGTAAATATAATTGCACTTTTGTGATTAGCCCTCGGTCTGCAAAATAAATTGGCAAATGCGCAACTCTTTCGAGGTGGCAGCATAATCACGGGTGTCATGTCAGTGCCCAAAAATGAAGATTTCGAAATTCAATGTTGTTTTATGACAAACGTGAATGCGTAATTATAGATATTTGTATGTATCTGCTATTATTTATGAATCTACTGTCATAAAATGCTCTTAAATTCTAGAGGAAAGTATCTCTTTAAAGCAAGGATTTCAAACAGTCTTCCTGACGGTTCTCATATTTTTCCGACCAATACAGTACTTACTGGTGCTGCTTGTGTAGCAGCAAAAGTCTAAGATATGGCTAACATGTCTTAGAACACATGACATGTGTTCAAACTATTATGATTAAGTATTGTCTGCAAAACTCATAGCGACACGCACTTGACTTCAATTCTTTTATAATTATCATTTTTCTAATTTTGACAACACACACGGAAAGGAAATCATTGCCATCCTTCATGAACATAAACAGAATACACAATGAGGAAAACCTTGTACAGGGAACTGCAGATGTAAGCCAGTACCATCTGCTCTACTCACGACTGCAATTGCCTGTTGGAACTGCTTCATGTGCACGTGACATTGGTGAAGTCTGAACTTTACGTCCACTTCTGATGTGACATCCTAGAATTGATAGAGCACAACGCAAGACTTAGAAGAAGAGCACACAGCCAGTTTTCTACTTTATAACCAGGAGTATTATATAAATAAGAAAAAGAGTTCTAATAGACAGCATATACAAAAATGACATTTATGCTTAGTAAGAATCCTCAATTCATTTGTAACTGCATGAGATAACAATAAAATGTCGTGATTTTGTATATTGTGAGTAGCACATGAAAGTAATTGTTATCCATAACACTTACAGGCTTCTGTGCCTTGGTCTTGCTCTTCATAATAACTTTGTAAAGCTGTAGAGCTTTCCTGAATGTTGGCTTAAATATGCAAAACACAGAATCAGAATAATGCAGACCAGCTTTAGTTGAATTTAAATCAGAAATCCTACTTATATGTTACGTGCTTACATGCATACCATGTTTAATGTGTAGTTCTGTTATCCATCCATAATGATACATCATATCAAACCATTTACCTCACAGATATACAGCAAACATAAGGTCAAACTCAGGTATGTAGTGCACTCTGGACAGAGCGTACAGAAAATTGTTTAACTCAATGTTATAAATTTCGCTTTTTATTCTTTCCCTTTGCTGAAATAGTCCATTTACTTATAGCTACTGGCAATTGTTAGAGGGTTCCATGCACATACAGATGTCAGACATACCTCTGCTCTATGATGTTCTGCTTCTTCATACAGTGCTTCTCCATAGTAAACAAGTGTTTGATACTTAGCAGCTGTACTCAAAACATCCTGTGAATGCTCACTCACAGATAACACTAAACTAGCCTGCAACAGTGCAAGCCAAGAATGAATAAAATTGCTTACACAGAAACCCCCAAGTTGGCATAAATCTCATTATATGCCAAAATCCCATTGTATATATGCACAAGTATGTACAGCTGAATCATACATGATACTGCACACAGGCACTCGCGACTGGCTGGTCGGGGTTCAATAAATAGCCACCCCGTTCTGCGGTAACTGTAGTGTGTATAAGAGTATATATGAGAGTATATATACTCTTATACACACTACGGTAGGCGCAGAACGGGGTTGCTATTTATCGAACCCCGACCAGCCAGTCGCGACTGCCTGTGTCTGTGATACTGCACTTCATAACGCATAACTGTGTTTGTATTACTGAATTATGAATCTTTGCTTGTTAAACTACCCTTCGCTCCGCTGCAGGGCTATAGAACATACTATGGCAATTTCCAGGGAGTAAGCAAAGACAATGTATTTCCAAGTGGAGGGGTGGGCAGGTTGCACGCGGTTGCAAACCGCGCTAGCGCTGCGCAACGAAAATGGCGGTTTGCAACCCCGTGCAACCTGCCCACCCCTCCACTTGGAAATACATTGTGCCCGCTCACAAGCGCCAGAACTGCGCTAGCGCTGCGCAACGAAAAATGGCGGTTGAAAGTTGATAAACAATCTTCGTAGACGAGTAATATATAGCAAGTACAGTAAAAACCCGCGTATAAGAACATAGATTTTTCCAAGTTAGCCTCAACATGTTCTTATATAAATGGTGCTTACTGAAAAATTAGGCTCAAAAGGTTCTTAAATTGGTTCTTAATTGTTTCTACTTTTAATATGTACTAGCTGAAACCCGCGCTACGCGCGGGCTTAGTCACTGTGATGCATGTGTTACCAGTACAGTAGTGTTATGTGTAAGGTGTTATATGGAGAGTTTAGTTGTTGCACATGTTTGTTTTTTTATGGTTGAGATGTCAATACAAATACATGTACAATCATAAATGAATAAATGTACCATAA